GCTATGACCTTCAACCGTCTCCGAGCTGCCATGTTTCCTACACTCTGGGCACCCCATGCACGGGGGTTTGCATTAGCTGCTTCCCATGTACTCAAATCCTCTCCTCTTCCTGCGTTCTTTCCTGTGTTGGGTGACCCTACCCAAGATTAGAATCACAGGTGGCATTCCTTCTCTTTTATGCCCTCAGATTAAGAATTACCAAATTCTGTTTTTTCTGTCCTGAAAATATTTTTACAATCCACGCTTTTACCTCCATCTCTCCCGACTGATTTCTCTGCATCCAGCTCTGTTTGCTTCTCATCTGTCTTTCCCAGGGTTTCCAAAAGCATTCCTTCTACTTGCTTTAAATCCTTCAATGGCTCCCTGAGGCTTTCAGAATAAAGTCTAAATTTTTTTTAAAAATATGATATAAACTTCTCCTATCAAAAGCACTTCTATAAGAAATGATAAAGCACTCTACTGTAAAATTTTCAGGGCCCAGCCTGCACCTGTCCTTTAATTGCTTATTTCTGGCCAAAATAAGGAGTCTTCAAGTCCTGAAAAGGTGATTGCTGCCCTGAGTGAATCTCAGAAGAAACCAACACTGCCACCAGGAAATCCGATGAAGAAAATAATGTCCCTCTACATTCTTGGTCCCTTCAGAATAATAGAACTTGCCGGGGATTTAGCTCAGTGGTTTCGCTGCCTGCTGCGCAAACGCAAGGACCCGAGTTCGATCCCCGGTACCAAAAAAATAAAAAAAATAATAAAAATAATAAGACTTGTTCAGTGACAGGCCTTTCAAGGCTGTTTAGCACTAGATGAAAGGTCTTTTCTTCACATAAAGCCAACTTATTAAAGTGAGTGTCTCTAATTGCAAAAATATCTCTAGACTAAAGAAATACTATTGATGAGGAAGGGTGGCCTGGTCATCCATTCACTGTGGCCGGCCACCCTGCGGTGATGGGAGCCACTATGCTGGTGTTTATCTCCCAGAGACAGGGGGGATTTGGAATCTGTGGTGCATCGATATTAATCCCAGCAGCACAGACAGCACAGCTGCCATGCACAAGAAATGCGAACAGAAAGTAACAGCCCACATCTGCAGAAAGAGAATGCTCGCTTCCCTGTCAGGCCCCTCAGCCAGCACAGATCTCACCTTCTGAGTGCTGTGGTCACATCTTACTTCTATTACACCTGCCTCAGGACCAGCAATACTGTACTATGCATAGTACCTAAGTAAGCTTTTTTTATACAGGGAAACATCATTTCCTCAAGCAAGGAGAGGCTCATAGACAATTAGTCATGCAAGTCATGCAATCTTTACTATAGAACATATGCCTAGTATCCGCTACAGCTTAACAATGAAACACTTTTCAGACACAGGTATGTCTCCAGCGAAAAATAAGAGTTCATTATTGCCTTCCTGGAGGAATACTGATCAACTATAATTTTATCTGGCACTCCTGAAACAATGTAGGGTTGCTCCAACTAATTGTTTCTTCTTCAAAGATTTCAGAGTGATTAGCCACACCAATATGTTTTATTTCAGTGTGTGAATGGAAAACAGCATTTTTTCTTACTTCCAAACATCATAATTTCATTAAATTTTTCTTTGTTGGAAACAGCATATGTTTTATCATTAAAAAATGAAATAGGGCCATATATAATAAGCTCTATATGTTTATAACTTACCAATATGGTTGAAACAGATTTGTTTTTGAAAAAAAAAAGAATATGAGGCTGGGATTTATAATTAGGCAAAATCTATTCCTTCAGGTAATATATATGCTTAGTATAGGAATCTGATTCTGTATTTTATTCTGTATTTTTATAACCTATACTAGTTATGTTTTATGGAGAGGATTCTATCATTAAAGCTATTAAGCAATTTCATTCATGAAAACTAAAAGTTAGAAAGCAAACTTTGTAGCCTTGGGGTGCAAACCAGTGTTGGAGCATGTTCTTCGTATGAGCAAGGCCCTGGGTTCCATCCCTAGCCCCACAACAGAAGAGGGGGAGACAGGGAGGAAGGTCTTGTTGCTTCTGAAGATTCTGGAAGCTTTTAAAAGTTGGAGACTCTGGGATGCTGAGATGCAGAAGGTGAAGAATTCATATTGACTGGTCACCTCACCACTGCAGGCTCATCTGCTTGAAGATGACAACTAGAATATATTTAGTAGGTTTTAACTGAATTATAGATTCTACCGGCTTATTTAAAACACTACTATTCTCTTTCCATTGCTACAGAAATTTGAGTACTGTTTTATTTCTAAAAGCTTCATTCCTGAAATCTTCAGATAAATTATAAATTGCTTTTCTCTCTCTTTCTTCAAATTCTTTGTTGGATTTGTGACCTTACTCTGCATTTCCTTCAATTGCATTATAAATCAGAAAATATACATCTGCTTAAAGAGAGAATTCTTCTTTCACTGGCTCAGCTCTCCAGAGCAGTTGCAGCTTCAGAGGCTGCACATAAACTTGTGGTCGTGGCCTCTCCTCACATGTGCTTTCCACAGATCCAAGTGCCAGGAAGGACACATTCCTCAGCACACAAGGTGGAAGCAAAATGATTTGCTTTGCGGTGACGAAGAAAAAGGTTTCTCCTCTGTGTTTAATTAGCGTGAAATCACTCACACTTTTAATTGAAAGTCATGAAGATCCCTCGTAGATAGGCACACACCCTAATTTCTCATATACAATATACCAGTTATGCAGACAAATAAATTCACTTGAAAGAGTAATGCCATGTTCTGAACTGAGTCCTCCTAATATATGTATTGTTGAAGCCGTAACCTCTGAAGTGCCATAGTTGAAGATAGGGCCTTTAAGAAGATGCCTGAATGAGGTCCTCCTGCAGTACCACTGGGGCTGTTAGAAGAATGCTAGGAGACACCACAGCCTTCGCTGGGCCACAGAGGGAAGGCTACATGGGCCAAGGTGACCAGGCGCCAGCTGCGAGCCAAGGAGGGAGGCCCCACCAGAACCCAACCCTGCTGGCACCGTCTTGGGCTTCACTGCTTCCAGAACTGTGGGAAGACAAACGTGTGGCTTAGACCTCAGACCTTGAGTGTGTGGCATTTGCTAACAGCCGAGCAGACTGTTCGCTGAGAGGGCTACCCCACCAGCACCCTAGAAAGAGCGCTAATGCTTTGTGCCAGTTTCTCTCACTATGAAAAGTAGTAGTTTTTCATAATACAAAAATTTTAAACGTCAATCAAATATTCTGTATCAATATCATAAAGATATCAAATCTCTCCTTGTAACATAGTGGTTTTCAAACTTTATGAGTGTGATCCACAGTAGTATTCATTTGCACATATGTATGTAAGGAGTATATTGAACATTCATAATTATGTATGTGCATACTCTTCCTAATGATCAGACTAATACTACTTTTCCTAATTAAGGAACTATATGAGATGTGTTCTGTCAAATCTGTGTGTGTGTGTGTGTGTGTGTGTGTGTTAAATCCATTTGAAAGCCAGTTTATGGCTAGACGTTTGAGCAGTTCTTTTTCTTACCTATGGTATCCAAAACATTTCTTAGCTGCAATTTCCTTTTTTCTCTTAGCATATCAAGATCCTTAAAAGTGCACATAAAGTTGAAAAAAAGCCTCTCTCTCTGTCTCTTTCTCACACACACACACACACACACAGAAACACACACACACTCAGAGTCTAAGACTGAGGTGAATCTAATCCATTCAGATCCTGTTCAAAAGACTTTTCACACAATTTAAGATGGTGTATTACACATTAGGCATAGTGTTTTGTTGACGTGCATATAATACGAAGATGTGGTTTACATGGTGCAACTCAAATACAGATTCACACAAGTACAGTGACTGAGTATGTGAATTCCCAGTTGTGAATACCACATGCCCGGAAGGAAGGCGGGACCCCTGGCATTCCTGTGGGTCACTTTAGGCATCTTGGGCATCAATAAAAATTGTATCACTTGAGAAGATTCAAAGAAAATATTTGTAGAGAAAAGTGCATAGCTTATTCCATTTCTTTTCAGTATATGCTAAAGGATCTGCACTGGTAGCAATCAAAGGTTTAATAAAGATCTCTCTTGGCCTATGAACAGCAGGTAATGAAATGGAGAGGACAATTAAAACAAGACAGCGTGCATGCGTGTGGTGCAGAGTTTATAGATTTGTTGTTTTCTTAAATAATCAGCAAAACTAAGACCCAGAAGCAAAAAGTACAGAATTCATTAAAAAAAAAAAAAAACAGCACTGTCACACTTGAGCTAATAGTACTTCTGCACATGCAACAGGAAATCAAAATTTAATTTTCCAAAGAGTGAAAATTCAAAATCAGTATTAAGCTTTTCAATTTTCTAAAATTTCATTTATCAAAATTCCATCATTTATTCTCTCTGTAGACTTGTACAAAAATAAGTAAAAGGACATCTTTCTGAGCAGCTATAATACGTGCACAGGAGCAAATGGTCATGATGTACATGGCCTTGGAGACTGTATGTCTGTGTATGTGTGCGTGTGTGTGTGTGTGTGTGTGTGCGCATGTGCGCAACCACACATTTACATGGACATAAAGAAGGGAACACTCAAACACACATAAAAATCCACATTAGATAAGACATTCACTATGTCAGACTACAATACTCTGATATAAATACTATTATTTTTACATGATAAAATTCACTTTGTTTTTTGAAGAAAAAAGAAAGAAAACAAAAAAAGAAATGATAATCATGAAAAAAACATTTTAAGTTATATCCTCTTTTTTAGTAAAGATTAACCTCAGTACCTGGCACCCAACTGAGCATCAGGCACCTACAAAAGTATTTAGTAAATATTTCCAAGTGAAAAAATTAGAACTCACGTAATATATTTTCCCATTGTGTCTGACAGTAAATTCATGCCAAATGCAAATATTAGACATTTCAAAACAATGTTTAATATTTGAAAATGTGAACATTTTTAAAAACATTTAAAAAATTTTACTGGATGAGCTAACCACAAATGTTTTTGTGCATCTCTTAGCTCTCACCTCTTCCTTTGTCTTCTTAGATATGACACGGAGCCAGTCCCCAATCATGCTCAGGACAGCGGCAAAGTAGGCCAGCCCCACAAGGATCCAAAACCACACGACAGGCTTGTAGAAGTCCAAATACTCAATATCTGATCCGCCTATGGGAGAAGACCAAAATAGAACTAAATAACTTCAAATTCCGAGAAGTAAACAATCTAGGTAACTGGCTAAAATTATCAACTGAATTTTGGCTTACATGATGTAGAAATCTTATATTCTTATCAATTGACCTATGCTTGTTCTTCATATTGAATTTTTCATTTTTTCTCATGGAACTCTTACCAATAATGATTTGCTTTGTTTTGTTTTTTTCTGGAACTGGAGCTGGAACCCAGGGCCTCATGCATGCTAAGGAAGTTCCTTCACCCCCAGCCTCTTACCAATCTTTTAAAAGCAAATGAAGCAAATGCTTCATAATGAGACCTTTCATTGCTTCTCCAGGTCCTAATGATTTTTTTCTTACTCCATGTCTGTTATTCATTTATAATCTGTCTCAACTAGTCTACTGCCTAATTTAACTATCTAATGTTTCTTGTTCCTCTTTCTACTTCTGTTGTGATAAGTGCAGGTACAGGTTACATTTTTTAGGGCATATATATAACTTGGCATCCTTACGTCAATGCTACCCAGTTGACTCAATGCCAAACTGAATAGAAAGTGGGCACCTCTGGTATCAGTTCTTATTGTAAAGTCATCAATACGTTGATAACAAATGCCAGAGACAATGCCGTGGGTCTAGTGAGAATAAACAGCAATTCCCAGGTAATAGTGACATTCCTTATTCTCCGGGTTTTCAGAGGAATCCCAAATTTCTCCCAAATTTTAATCCTTAGCTCTCATGAAAACATTGGCAGCAAGGCTCTTTTCCTTGGCTTTCATCCTTGAGGTACTCCATCCTCCTGGCACAGTAACTACACCTACAAGAACCTGCACACATTTCAACAAACTTTCTTCAGTGCACAGGAATGGGGGTCCTTACTAAGTTCAAGCCCCTCTCTTCAGAAATTAACAATTTAGCCCAAGAGAGGGTCATATAGACAATTCATCACAATGGATTAGGAGTGATAGCAAAAGAGAATATAAAAGTGCTGTGGGAGGACACAGAAGAAATCATTTTCACTTCTGGAAGGGAGAAGGTAAAAAGGGAGAAGTTGAGCCTTCAGGAATGAGCATGGAAATGTGAACTAGTTCAGTGTGTAAATGCATAGTATATTTAAAAGATTTGTTAGGAGATAAAGCTCCCTATGAAAGGAGGCCAGGTAGCAGACAGGTGTAAGACAGGAATCTGGAAAGGCAGGTTGTGCCAGATCAAAAGGACCTGATCCTAACTCACCCACTGGGAACAGGTACTCTAACTTCACATGCAGAAACGTGCAGTGGCAGAGAGGGAAGAAGTGACAGGGGAGCCCCAAGAGAAACTGCTCTAAACTAGCTGGGAAGTGACTGCATCTCAGGTGAGGCAGGCCCAGAAAGAGGCATTTAGAGGCAGAAGCATCAGGAGGTGGTAGCCAGTTAGCTGATGTGATAAGGGAAAAGAAGAACTCTCTGAGGGCTGCAGACCCTCATGGACACAGTCACTGAACAGGGCAGGGGACAGGGACAGGTCTGAAATGCTCAAGGGAGACACAGGTGAAGGTACCGGGAGGGACCCTTCCAAGCATGTGAACACTCGCAGGGCCGAGCAGGACACAAGGATTTCAGAATCAACAGCTCAGAGACAGGGATCCTGAAACAGGAGTCCTGCCTGGGTCTACCCAGTTCACTAGCCCAACCCACGCGTTCAGAAGAACAGCGAATAAATAGCAAGTATGCCTTAAACCCAAATATAAAATATTGAGGATGACATCACTCGAGATGAAGTAGACATTAGTTACCTACAGTGATGCTTTCAAATATTAAAGGGCAAAGGTTAAAAAGAAGACCCAATACTTCTCTGTCAGGTGAATCACATGAATAGACCCAGGCTTCACATTCTTTGGGGACGAATACTAATTTTAGGAATACACTATAATAATATTACCGTCACAGTATTGTTAAGATTTTTGCTTTGTATAGGATTTTATTTTAAAGATAAGATTTAGGAAGGACCATGGAGGCTAAATGCATTCTAAGGGTTCAAATCCAGCCTATGTGGGATGTAGCTCCACAATGCACTGAACTACAGAAACGTGGGCGGAAATCTGTTACCAGCAAATTCCATTTTTCAAATGTTTCCATTCCAAAGTAACCAAAATGACATTTTTCTCCTAAGAACTTTCTTTCAAATCCAGAAAATCTTCATCCAAATAGTTGTGACTCACTTAACACATAAGTTCACCAAGATGTTGATTTTAGGACAGCTAGTTCATGCTCAAGATCACTTTTTATAAGTCTTTCTTATAAACAAAATGTTACAGTTTGAAAAGAACAAATTAGCTTAATCACCAAAAGGCTTATATTTGGGTAAAATGTTCAACACACAAGTTTCAGTGCAGTCTAAACTCTGGAAAAAATATTTTTCCTTTCTTTATTTCCAGCCTTAAAATAAAACACCGGCAATTAGATGATTTCGGAAAAACTAATATATAAAGGAGTATGGTCAAATGACTCAAATCCTATTCACTTTTCATTATCTCCAACTTATGAATTAACTTCCACATGAATGAATTTAATTGATCCAAAAATCTTATCCAAATTTCAAACATTAAGATAACCTGCTAAGAAGAGTTGCTAGTTTTATTTTTAAATTAGAAATTTAAAAAAATAATTCTTGACTGATACAAGCATTAATTCATCACACACATGTCTCTTACTTATGAAGAATGTAGAGTAGCTTCTGTGGCCTGGACTGAATTCCCACCCCCTCCCCTCCACCATCTCCATCACTCTACTTTGCTCTCTTTCTCTCCTTGTTTTCTGAAACACAGCCTGCAGGATGCTCTAACTTGCTTGCCGCTCCTGGGTCCCCAACCAACCGGGCACTAATAGTCACGCCACTGATTTTTTTTCTTTGTTGCCACAGCAAATAGGCACACAAGTTCTTTCTATTTTAAGAGCGTTCTGGCTCATCTTTATAAGAGATTATACAGATGGTAATAAATATAGCCAAGTTTACAAACTTGTCCAAGTAGGTAAAAAGAGTCTCTTACATGACATGTGACAGACTCTTACGGGGCATTATCTCTCTCGATCTCTTCTCCTTGATGCTTACAAAAGGAACTCAGCCAGTGAAGGTTAAACTCTAAAAATATAGCTCAGAAAAGGTTTACCCTGGCATTATTTCCATAAGGGGCATTTCCTAAGCATTTGCTGTATCCACATAGCATCTGCTATACCCAGCTTTAAGAAAGTCTTCTCCTACCTGACATCCCAGAATACTTGGCTGGGGGACAGAAGAGCCCATGAGGCTTGGCAGGCACCTGCTGGGAAAGTTGTTTTTTCATTCTGGCCCTGACTGCCTTGTATCACACAATCAATATGCTCATTTCAGCTGATTTATAGAATATTCAAACTCCAGGAGACTTGCTGATTACCGGCATAAATGAACCATGCCATTCTAGAGGCCTGGAGGAGGTGCTGAGAGGTGAATTCCCACTACGCACATTCTTCTAACTCGGAGCAGGATATCAATGAGACCATTTGCCACAGATTAAAGCCCTATCCCCAGGTGCCCTGGACAGTAATAAAGCTGCGGATTTGATCACATCATGACCAGGCTGTGTGGAACTCAGGAGTGACAGAGGGGTCTGCCTGGTTCTCGAAACCCTAACAGTAAGTATCCCCACTTTACAATGAAGATGCCACAGCCTCGGTAGGAAAACAACATGGCAGCCTGTGAGGGACTTGGAGCAGCAGAGCCAGGCTGGGCTCCGAAACACAGCCCGTCTTCACGGGACCCAGGGGTCCCTATGCCTTGCAATCCCAGCTGCTGCCCTGCTTATGCTCCACACACGGTGTTAGTCTGCAGTTGCTGCTGTGACAAAATACTACAGGCTGGGTGATCTGTGTCCCACGATTCTGGAGGCTGGGAAGTCCAATATCAAAGTCAGCCATCTGCTGAGGGCCATGGCAGAAGGTGGAAGCATAAGAGACAGAAAGCGGGGTCCTAATGGCCCCTTTCATCTCACGGTGAGGGTGCAGCCCTCGTGACCCAACAACCTCTGGAAGGTCCTGGCTAGTCATACCATTAAAATAGCTACTGAATTTCAATGTCAGTTGTGGTGAGATAAATGTTCAAACCACAGCACCCAGAAACCCATTCTGTCCATACCACATCCTCAGCTAAGGCCAGAAACACTTAGTCAAGGCACTCTCTTCCCCTTAACAGTTCTCACCTGCAGACCAGTGGGTCTGAGAACAAGCACTGTTCATCAGGAGCCTCCTGAACCTGCCCTTTCTCCACTCTAATGGTACCCAGAAGCTGGCCCTATTCTGTTCTAAAGAAACATTCCCCTTCTTCCTTAAATTTAATTTTCTTTATCCGTGATTGTTTTCTAAATCACAAAATATTTATGAAGCAAAGATGAAAAGATATGTTCTAGTTTTAAGAGATAATCTAGTCACCCTGGACTTCCATCCCCCTCCTGTTTTTCTAAAATGACATGTGTACTGGAGGATACAGATAATAGTTAAAACTTCATTCTAAAGAAAACTGGTATATCAGTCAGACTCACACTGGTATAACAAGATACCTGAGACAATTAACATAAATAAAAAAGGTTTGTTGAGTTCACGATTCCAGAGGACCCAATCCAAGATGGAATTGTCCATTGCTGTGTGTTTCTGGTCAGAGTATCAGATGTAAATGGTGGGGGGAGTATGTCACAATACACCACTCGCAACATGAGCCAGAAAGCTGAGACAGAAGAGACCCAAGTCCCGAAAGAGCTACTGAGGGTGCATCACCAGTGACTTCAAGGACATCCACAAGGTCACACCTCTTAAAAGTCCACAGCACCCCCCAGTTATACACCATCCTAGGGGAAAGTTTCATATGGACCTTTGGGGTACATTAATCCAAACCACAACAATGGGGGGTGTTTCTTTCCACTTTATCTGGATTTTAGTTCAGATATTAAATACTGATTCAATTTTACTGGCTTTACTTTTATTAATTAAA